CCGTAGAAAGATATGTGTTCAATAAAAAATGAGAAGATCCCAGATTCTTGGTCTTAGCCTGAGAAGAGCTCTGACCCTCTGGACCCCTTTGCATTCTAAATTATTGTCTCATTCTCGTTCATCCTTCATCTTACCCTGGCCCAGGTGACTGGGAATCAATCAGCCCTTGATAACATATGTACAGCTTTCTATATGTCAATTATGCTTACATGATAATCAATCAGACATAACAAAGTGTTTTAAAACTAAATAACTAAACCATTTTTAAGTCAAGTGTTTTTTTTGTTTCTAAGATTTCATTTAGTGTTTGTTCATATATAGGAGGTAGGTGGGTGGATGCTGGAATCAGACTACCGCAATTTCACTCCTCCTATTGACGAGCTGTGTACCCCTGGTTCCTGTTCTTATTCTCTCTGCCTCTGCTTTCTCATGTATTAAATGAGAGTGATAATAATACCTATTCACGGGGTTGCTGTGAACATCAAATGAGCCACAGTGTGAAGAAATATATCTATTTTCTAATGCTGCATAACAAAACTTCCCAAAAGTTAGTGGCATCAAATGAGCCATTTATTTAGCTCACAATTTGGTAAGGAGAGATCTTCAAAGGAGATGATCATTTAATAGCTAATAGGTCACAGTTTGGGCTGGTCTTCTCTGAGAACTTCTTTCATGGATCTCAGGACATTGTGAAGTCCGATGATGGGATGAATGTGTGCCCCTCCCACTGGATGTTTTTGGCTTGTTCATTGTTCTATGAGCAGCAATAGGGCATTTGCATTACTCACACATTTTTCGGGTCTCCTTGTTTCACATTTGTTACTTTCCCATTTACTAATACAAGTCATATGACCTAGCCAGAGGCAGTGTAGCAGGCAGCATTGATGGTATGGATACGGTAAAAGGATAAAGTTGTCAACATTTTTGCATTCTACCATAGGAAAACTGTTTATACAATATTTTTATTTTATTGTAATATATCATAAGCACCTAAGTATGTAGTTGTGACTACTTTCAAAAGTAAGAAAGAACCACATAGCTGAGATGCTACCTGTTAATTTTATCTCATCAGTGCACTGTTGTAGCTTAAGTAAATATCTTTGTCTTGATCCAACTGATCCCTTCACTCTGCATTTGGGCGCTTGTTACAACTTCAGGGGACATCTCTTGCCTCCAGTTCTACAATCACATTCTGCCGCAAAATTCCTTCTCTCTGCACTCTTCAGCGGGAACACTTGTATAAATCACCCAGAAGGTTGGCAAGAAAAGAGATGTTTCTGGGCTGAGTGCTTTTTGGAAAAAAAAATCGTCCCTGCTACCCAGAAGTCATTTACATAGGTTAATTCCTGGGGGTTAAAACTTATGGCCCCCCTTTTGCTGCCACAGCTGTGAGATAGTCTTTTCTTCAGCATCAGTGAGAGATTACTGCTTAAGCATTTTATGCACACTTATAGGCAGGCACTCTTGGCAACAGAAATACTGTTTATTGCTCTTATATATTTAGGTCTGAATAGCCCTCCATCCCTGGACATGTTACTCTCCTGACACCAAATGTCACATTTACTGTCCTCGTGAAGTATTACCTGAATCTTCCTGGATCAAGCACTCATCTGCAAATCATTGCTCAATCATTCTCTAGTCCTACATCCCCAAATCTGATTCAATCATAGATAGTGTGTATATCCCACGAGTCTTCATTGATTCACAATAACCTACAAGTCACCTACTTCTCTGTGGCAGTGTGATTCATTGAGATATTACTTTTACCTTATTCTTGCTGCTATAGGAGGATACAAGGAACGAAAGGGAAATTTTCCTTACCCTACCTCTCTTCCAAGAATATTCATGCCCTTGCACTTGCTTTGTGGAAATTATTGCAATAGCTTCTTTATTTTTCAGAAGAGACCTTGAAGGCAACACCACTAACATTATTCACAGCCTCACACCCATACCTTGGTTTTGGAAGAAGCGGGGGAAGGAAGGAGAGAGGTAAGAGAGAGAGACTTACCACATTTCCATGGAGTGGGGATTATTGGGAGGGGTTATGTTTTTGGAGGGGGATATACTTCAGGCATGGAAGAAGACTTGAGCCTCACTCTTATGTGGGGCCTCGGAATGATAAGACTGCTAATATGGCATCACATAGGTAGGAAATACCATTGCCTTTGGAGTTGTGGCCAAATTTGATGAGTGTTCACATTTAAAAGGACCAGGTAGGCTTGTGCAGTAAATATTTTAGGAGCAACTATCATGGAATAAAGACCTGAGGCTTTTTCTCAAATTTTCTACATTGTAAAGACCCTGGCATACAACCAGTCTGGTACCTGTCCCCACCCCCACCCCTGTTCCATATGCCTGCAATTACATGTCCTGCTACCCCATGACCAAACCAAAAAGGAGAGAGAGACGCAAAAACAGAGACAGAGACGACAGAGGCAGAGACAGAGAGAGACAGGGAGAATGAGGAAAAAGGAGGAGGAGGAGAAGGAAAAGGAGACATGTATTACTTTTCTCATAACCTAGACAAAGTGTAAAATGTGCTGATAAAAATGAAATTTTCATCAAATTCCTAGGAGCTGGTCTTCTCAGCTGTTTTCCACCCTTGTACGTTTTTGTTTCAAGCTAGTCACCAAATCCCAGGGATAATAGAAGATACACAGTAGTAGCCAGGAGTTGCTAGGAGTCTAATATGTCAGTGCTGAAATCTCTTCTAGATTTGGTACACAATAGCTAGCTAACTGGCACCAGTAGGCCTGTTAGCAGGTGTGAGGAAAAAAGGATTCAGACCCTGCCACGGCCCCAAAAGCAATTACACAGAAATGTTGCCGTAGGACTTAACATTAAAAACTCTTCGTCATTCTAGTTGGCTCTATCCACTAGTCCAAAGGCAATTTCCTCCCAAATTTTCAGCATTATAGATTCCCTCTTTCCCCTTGAACCTACAAATCCAGCTGTGTTCTCTTGCCTCTGACATCAGCATTACTGGCTTTGATACAGCCAACCATCTGGTTGATGAGGTGTGAGGCAGAAGGGAATCCAGCTCACTGTTCCCTGATGTTTCCACATGAACATTACAAAACTCGCTGGAGTCAACATGGATAGTGATCTACAAAGCAGACTTAGGAGAAATTAGCATGTAAAAAGCCTTGAGCTATAATTTCTAGTGACCATCACAGGCATTTTCAGGTTGGGACTAAAGTGGCCATTCCTGTCGTATCATGGAACTTTGGAGATACTTTTAGTCAGGTGATCTCTCCATGAAGTCTGTCAGGTGACATGATAGAGCTGCAGAATATGGAGAAAATTAGTTAGCCTGCTTTGATATTTCATTGTTTGATGTATGAATGTATCTGCTCATTTATTGTTTAAACTCAGACTTTCCTAAAGCTGCTCATTTTTTCCTACTCTTTGTCAGAACCATCTCCTGAAGTAGTAATGTTCTATTCATCAGCATCAACTGTTTCCTTGGCCTTCCACCCCTACTCTCATTCCTGCAGGTTTTCTGTCACTTCTGACTTTAGGAATTATAAAAGGAAAGGAGAGACAATAAGCAATGAGGAGACAGAGGGCCAAGGAGAGGGAGAGAGAGGGGGAGAGGGAGAATACAATGGTGGAAGCAGATTTTTGTAATCAGAGAACCTGATTTAGTCTTTGTTCTGCTGCATTTTGATCTTTGTTCATCAGTCATTTAGTAATGAGTGATCTGTGTGTCCCATCATTTGAACGCCATGCTTCAGACTGCTCATCTACAAAAGAGTGAAAATAATAGCAAGAGGTGATGTAAAGAGTCTGTGTAAACAAAAAAGCTCTTGTAGGTATTATTTATTAAAGGAAATTTTAGGAAAAGATTTTTAACTTCACGTCGCACCACAAGTGGAGACAATAAAATGAAAGTGGCTGCAGAAAACTAGTTTCTCTTCATTTCCCCAGGAGTACTGAAGTAGGGACTATATTTGTTTGGTTTAGTGCTTTCATTATGGAGATGAATTCTCTGAGTAGAGCCAAGAATGAGTCTCTTTCTCTCTCCCTCCCTCCCTCCCTCCCTCCTCTCAAATTATTTAGGATTTAGGAAGCATTAGGTCCCCCACTCATTTTCCTGCCTGTGTTCCTCAAACTGGCCAGTTTCTCTTCTCTAGTTGTCTTCTAAAACTGACATACAAAAAGAGAAGAACCATCCACAGCCTCGTCAGTGTGATGATCCAAACCTATCTCATTCTTATTTCATATTCAGGACACACACACTCCTCCTCCTGTAGTATTTGCTGATATACTTTGCACTCCAGCTGCTGCAATACTTAAATCAGTGATTCAGTACACAGACCACACAATGTGCCACTACACTCCAACAAGCAAGGCCTGGCTCTCCATGGGGACAGAGGATCTAAGCATCTGTCATTCTCCTCCCATTGCTTATAATTAACCATACACCCCTTTACACACATAAATATTTATGTGCAAAAATAAAACTCCCTGGTGCTTTAAGCCAATCTCTCTTCTCTTCAGTGAGCTTTGAAAGTTTCCAAAATGAATTTTATACTTAATTCAAGACTCTACTTGGTTGTGAAGAACTTGTATAATTATATCCCTAGAAAATAATTTAAAACTTCAGACTGAGGAATACGGTGCATGCATACTACAGAATGTAAACTCCATGAGGGTGACTTCTTTGTCTAGCTCATTAATATATCCCAAATGTCTAAAGCAATCCTTGGTACACAGTGTAGCTCAATCAATACTTTTTAATGTTGAATGACTGATTGCACAGGAATCTCAACTACAAAACATAATTTATTTGCTTACAATGAGAAATTTAAGACTAGAATTTCTCTCTATATATAAAGTGGTAGAGGTCAAACCCACAGCTTCATATATACTAGGGAAGAGCTCTAACAATGAGCTATAACAAGAGTCCCCAAACCAGAATTTCTAGGCAAACATTGCAGAACCTGAACATGTTTTAATATTAAATGAGAATAAGGCAGAGAGAAACAATCATAAAATTTCAGGTTCATACATTCATTTATTTATTCACTCAATAAATTATTACTATTGCTAAGCATCATCACATTTAGTTTGTGAAGCAATTACAACAACAGCAATAATAATGATAATAATGCTTACTCTAAGGAGCTCTCGGTTTGTGTGTGACTTTCAAAACTGATCTCCTATCAGTTTTGGAGGTAAATACTTAGTTTTCATCTCAAATGTATTGAGTCAGAATCACCAAGGACCAGCCAGTGAATTTATTTTCATTGTGCTAGTCAAGCAGCACTTATAAACACTAACATTTAAGAAGTTGGTCTAGGGGCCAGGGATATAGCTCAGTGGTGCAGCACCTGCCTGGTAAGCATGAGGTCCTGCGTTTGATTCTCCATACCCCCACCCGCCCACAAAAAAGAAGTTGGTCTATTGGAATTGAAGTTATTTGACTATTTTTCAGGAACTATGGAGTCTCTGGTACTAGTCAGGTAATGTTTGCATTGTCACAACTACACATCCCCTAGTGAACAGGTAAAATGTAGTAATATTAAAATGACATAATTATTTTAGATTAGTAGACCAGTATGTTATTGATAGGAGCCTACAAAGCAGTTTTCTTTTAAACTAATCCTTACTGGGACTGGCGATTTAACATGAGGGATTAAAAAGACAAATATAGAACGTAGACTTCTAGAAACAAGTCAAAACCAAATTTCCTACATATTCTCTGTTTCTAAACTTCTGAAAATATGGTTTGAAACTTGCCTCAGGCCTCATCAGTTTTGAATATTCTAGCATCTCCATCACCCTGTCCTGTGTAGCCCAAACTCCAAAACTGACTAACACCTTCACACCTCCTCGCAAAGACTAATTAGGTCTTCAGTGCCCAAGATGCAGTCAGAACCAACTACCATCTGGCTCAGGACGGCGTCATCTAACATTCTGAAAGTTTAGGTTTAATTATTTGTATAATTTAATGCAATTTCCTATGTATTACAGACATAGCACATCTTTAAAGTTTGCTGACTGTCTGTGGATTGTAAGATCTATTTCTTAGTTGTTCCTCCGCATTTGAGTATTTTCTTGGACCTGGCTTCAGAAGAAAGATCCTTTTGCATCTTTCATTTTTCTAATGTTTTATTGCTTCCACGGTTTTATATTTACACATTGTTTAACTCTGTCACATCTATTGGCTCATGTCTCTTGTCCTTTATGGCTCCTGGCAGGTTTAATAACCATTCTCTCCATTTTAATATTCTTGTCAATCTTTCAATTCCTTACTTCTTCTTTTTAAATTATTTGTGCAAGTTTAACATTTAATTATTTTCCTTCTTCTGTGCTTTTGAATCATGGTGTTTACCATTTCACTAAGAAAAGAGCTAACACAAATTGAGAGTTTGATCACATAGTAATGTTGGTTATTATTTATACATTAAATTATGCTCTCATGCTCTGTGGAACAGATATATTAAATTTAATGCTAGACAGAAAAAACGAAAATACTTTGGGAATTGCAAACATTGGCCACTGAGCTACATTCTTTTGGGAAAAACAGATTATTAATGATATAATCTTATTTAATGTATTAATGTTAAACTGTGCATATTTGCTGTTAATCAAAACAATTTTTTCCACTGAAAGTGATGGTACTCAATGTTCTGTTAATTATGCAAGGAGCTAATCAATTTGTCCCTTAAATGGATGTTCAACTGATTAAGAAAAGCTAATCATCAGTTATGAAATCCATAAGGCACACATGAGTCAGGTTTAAAACACTTTTTTTTTTTTTTTTTTTGCTAACTTGGGACCAATAATTGTGTCTCCTTAAATTACCTCTTATTCCAATTGGAGGAAGTGTTTTTCTTTCCCTAAGTATGTGTTACACTTTTACTGATGAAAATTAAAGCCTCGTTTAGCCTGTGGTGTAGGAAGCAAATCAAGGATGATGCTATAGTGGATTCACTTTATTTAATCCCTAAAGGACAATAACTAGGCAAATTAATTATGATTTGGCGTGAAGAATATACTGCTATGAATTAAATATAGCAGTTTATACATTTAACTTCCCTCAATGCTATAAAAGAGAATTTAGGCATGCTAATTGTTCAATACTCTAAAAAGATAATTTTATTTGATTATGTTCATCCACCCAATAAATATTTATCAAGTATCTCATATCTCCTATGTGCCAAGTACTGTGCTAGATACCAAAGCAATAAGGACACACGAGGTACAGTTAGGAACAAAAAGAAACTACCACAATAGATAATTAGATACATTTTGACTTGTTACAGTCACTTAAAAAATAAACAAGATAAAACAAAAAAGAATCAGGTTCACATTTCAACTTGTCAGAGCCTATATATCAGAGATTAACACATGCAAAAAAGCTACCTGTGTCAGAAGGAAAAGAAAGCACAATTCAAAGACTTTAAATTCAATAAACAGGCAGTCAGGATGTTTGACCTCGAACTCCAGTTTGTGGCTATCACTAATCCCCTCTTGACCTTGAGATTATTTTAATCCTCTTCGTATTTCAACTTGTTCATCTGCAAAAGATCAGTGAATTTACCGCCATGCAATACAGGTCCATTTTAAATCATTTGTAGGAAAATCTAGGCGTCTTCAAGGGCTTCTTTATTTGAAATCCAAATGCAAAGTGCATTAGTCAATCAGGCAGTCAGTAAGTACTTATTGATTACCTCCTGAGTGCTCTCCGGGATGCCAGGCCCTGTGGGGGATATAAGAAGAGGAAAGAAAATGATCACTTTCTTCAATTAGATGCCACTCTTGTTGGAGACAATCAGTGGGCAATAAGAATGAAGAACAAACAAATGAATATTTACTCAGTAACTACTACGTGCCGACATTGTTATGCATTTTAGACAGTAAGGCTCTTTCCCACACTAGGCTACTAAAGAGTGAACATGTGGAAATAATTAAAATCTAGACTGTGCAGTCTTTTAACAGCATAGAAGTTTGGAGAGGAGAGAGGTCAGTTAGGCTACATTCAGGGATGTCTGCATTAAAGTCAAAGGATTTGAGCCAAGATGCCAAGCAACTGCAGAGTAGGTGAAACTGGCTAGACAGCAGCACACTCCTGAGGAAAGAGATCAGACCCAAAGAAGACAAGGAGCACAGAGAGTGAGCACGGCATGCTCATTGCCATCGGCTTTCACCAGGGTAGCAGTCTTACATACGGATGGTGGGAAACAAGGTGGACTTTGAATGTCCAATTAAAAATTTGTCAGGATGTCCGTTTAGAAGGAAGTGTGTAGGAAAAGAAAGTGTTTTCAGTAGGGAGAGGTTGAAATATCTAGATTAGGAAATGGATGTGATAAAAGATATTTGAAGGCTATTGGTCTGGTAATTAGATTTTAGGGTACAGCAACTAGATCAGGGGGCTCTACTAATCTTGTATTTCCAGTTTCTGCAACATCTGATCACAGACATTGCTTCATAGCATATCAGTTAGAAGTTTCTAATTCTGCTGTTTGATTTACTGAACTTGCAGTGGTAGCTGGCTTATGCAATAGAAAGTACTATTCCTACTGTTCAATTTGTGACACGAAGATTTTCTCAAAAACAGAACTGTTAAGTATATTTTCCCATTCTTTTTTTCTTTACCATCCTCCTATTTACTTTTTGGCTCAGGGTAAAGTTAAATAAGAGTCAGCAAAATAATAGAATTAATCCTTTTTCTTCTTTCAATATCCAAGTATGTTGAATACTTGGTAGAGATGAAATAAAGCCAGGATCTCCTGGGGTCCTCAAAGATTTTCTGGGATAAGAAGCTGTAGGTCAAAGAAAGAAAGATACAGGGTAAGAGCTGTTACAGCAACTTGCCTTTCCTCACATCTGCTAGAAACAGTTGGAAAGGAAAAAGAAAGGAGGAACAAAGAGGAAGAAAAAAAGTAGAGATGAAGTGGGCACTATTAGGTGATAGGCTGCTCAGAATTCAACCCACTTTCAAATCTAGGACAGGGGCCACAGGGCTACTTCAAGACACAAGCTCAGTTCTATCACTGCTCCCAAGCACCTCAGGAGACGGGGGCAGCACCCCCAGGAGAAGCAGAATTTTCTCTTTTTCCTCTATTTCCCTCCATCTAAATACTTCAATCTCAACTTCTCTTAGCACATACCAGTCTCTCTTATTTTCTCTGTAGTACTGAGGATTGTACCCAGTGCCTTTGTCCTGAGCTCTGTTCCCAGACCCTTTAAAAATGTTTTGTTTTGTTTTTGAGACAGGTCTTGCTAAGTCACTAATTTACCCAGACTGAGGTCAAACTTGTGATCTTCCTGCCTCAGCCTCCCAGAGTGCTGTGGGGAGCATATTTTATAAATTATGTTTTCTTCTTGTGTATCTGTCTACCATCTATTTAAACATGTATTAACCATGTTCCCTTTTATAAGCAAGGCTGTGAGAGATGTTATTTCCCAGGCCTACTCGGAATCGTCAGGAAAGTTCCTTTCTGCCACCTTTTGTCCTTCACTTCTTTTTCCCATCCCTTCTTCCACTGTTTTGCTCTCCTCACTGTCTTCTCCTACTCAAGGCAGAAAAAAACATATGAAGCAAGGTAAATACAGTGACTTCCCTGAAGAAATATTGATTCTAAAAAAGGACACAATTTCTGGAAATGGCAGACTGTGCAGAGGACAGGACACGCAGAACACTTTTCTTTCATCATGTTTTTGTCCACAGGCAAAGTATTCTCTTCTCTACAATAGTGGATCTAAAATTGAGTCACTTTAACTGAGGTACTATTTATCAAGATTCCAAGAATCATGTGCTTGCCTCTTGCAAGAACTCTGGTGAAGATAAGGTAATCCCACCTCTACCAGACCGACTTTGACACTCAGCTATTACCAGTTCAACTTTCCTCTCTCTGACTGTCTCTCTGTCTCTGTCCCTCTCGCATTTACACAATCTTTATTTTACAGCAAATGACTCCTATTCTGCTTTCTTCTGTTTTCCTACATTTCAACTGCAAATAGAAATGTGAGCAATGATTCTAAAGCCATATAGTTTATTATTGAGAAATATTTTATTCAATAGAAATGTGAGCAATGATTCTAAAGCCATATAGTTTATTATTGAGAAATATTTTATTCTAATTATATAGTAGTACTTGCAACAACTTGCAGTTTCAGACCATGCTATGATTACCGCATTTCCACGGTGCCCTACACACACTCCATGGTCAATTTTGTAACAGGAAATAAGTTTCACTAAATATTATTCAAGCCACCCATTCAGAACTGGTTTTCAAATTACTTGTACTAGCTTTTCAATCAAGATGCTCTTGAAGTAATAATTCTCAATTTTCTAAACAATGAAGATTATTAGTTAACCAATGAGCTTTGTTATAAGAGATTTTACATATATCTGAATATTAAAGAATAAAAGAATGTGATAGTGAAAACAACATTGACTTTTTATATAAGTACAGTATCAGACACTCACTCACATGTTTTAATCTTAACCTCATAGTGATGATGTGAAAATAGAAGAGGACATTTATAGCCACAAATTTAATGATTTTAAAACATTTTGGATCTATTTGCTCTACAAGTCTAACAAACATATATTCTCATGATTTTTCTTATTATACAGGAACACAGTAGTAGTATATTAACTTTCTTCCTTTTAACCTACTTAATGTTTATTTTAAAAATTAAAATACATTTTGATTCTTCTAGTCTCAATGTTTCAGATACATGCTGGTACATCAGACACATTTTACACCCACATTAATCAAAGCACAGAAAAAAATGATTACTAAAGATGTGAGATTGATAACACTGTCTCTCTGAACTTCTAGAGCAAAAAGCTATACTGCATAGAAGATTATATTTAACCCACACCACTACCTGACTAACCCCACTTCTCAGCGTATTGTTAGAAAAAAATTATTTATAAGACAAAGAAGCTACCACTTTTTAATTTGTTAGTATCGGGTCAATAATATCCCTTAGTTATTGCACTCTGATCAGGTCTGCAATCTCCCAAATGAGTGTATGGTGAAGGCTAAATAAAAAGAGGTGAATGGAATGATTTCTGGGCTCCAGGAGGATCAAAGCCCTCTCACAGAATTTGAGATTTTCTCAGGGCTAAGACCAAGACCTTCTCTGGGTGGCTCATATTTATTTGGTTATCAGAAGGGAAAGGAGTACTCAAGAAGGGCAGAATCACTCAAGGATTTCTCCAAGTAAAGTATTAAATTAATCCTTAATAAGGATTAAGTTAATCCATCCAGAAGTGAGATGCCTGAAGCTATAGTCTTTTAACTAGTTGAGATCAGCTCTAAGTGTCCTTGGCTATGATCTTTTCTTATCTTTTGAGGTTTTCTGGCTTCATCCACCATTACAGGTTTTAGTAAGGATTAGTGACTCACAGAGGTTCATTTACTAGGAGTCTATTGCTCATCTCCAGACAAGGAGCCTAGGCCTTGGATAGATTCACAAGTAAACATAGAAAGTCAATTAGTTAATTTAAGCCCTGCTCAGGGCTGCTTCATAGTGGTCTCCATCATGTTAGTACAGATTTGTAGTAATGTTTACATTCCTTATGTAGAGTTGACACATGTACATAACACATTTAAAATTCCTTTTTTATCCCTTTTCTCTTCCTTCCTTCCTCCTTCTATCCATCTCTTGATCCCCTTTCCTTTTGAGAAAGATCTATCTCCCTACTTTCTATTATCTGTCTTGTATTTTGCTCTTTGTTTATTCTTTGGGTTTCTAATATAAGAGAAACCATGTGATATTTAAGTTTGTGTGTCTGATTTATTTCACTTATTATGCTTGCAAAGCTCATCCATTTTCCTACAAATGATTTGAGTTTATCCTTATCACAGAGGAGTATTCCATTATGTGTAAATACCACATTTTCATTCCCTGTTCATCTGTTGATGGGTCTATGGGCCACTTCCAAGATTTACCTATTGAGAATAATGCAGCTATACACATGGGTATACATGCATCATTGTAATGTGATGTCTTTAACTCCTACAGGAAGGTACCTAGAAGGGGAATGGCTGGATCAGTTGAAATTTCTACTTTTACTTTTTTGAGGAATCTCCACACTGACTTCCATAGTGATTTGACTAATTTACCTTCCCACCAACAGTGTAGAGGGGTTCCTTTATTCCCCACAGTCTCAGCAACATTATTATTTAATTTCTTGCCTGTTTGTGGAATAAACAAATAAAAAGAAGATTCAGTGACAGATGTAGTTACTCAAACTTTGCCCAGTAAGCAAAAGTCATCTTCCTCTGAAAGTCGTATTGCTTTCCAGTAGCTGTGGTGGTCATTTACTTTTACAAAATGCATTTGCATCAATGCTCAAATATTATTCTGGAAACCTTATTCATTCTTCATCAAAGAAATTTATTTGGCATCTATTAAGTGCCAGACAAATTCCAAGTATTGAAGATACAAGATTCCTCTTGTTGTGGTGCTTATATTCTACAGCAGCAGTGTGTAATGGAACTTTCTTCAATGATGGAAATGTTTTACCAACGTGCCAGCCATTCTAGTGGCCACTAGATACAAGTAGCTCTTCAGCACTTGAACTGTGACTATGTAAATTTTATTTAATTTTAATCAATTTAAATTTGCATCCAAATGGTCACATGTACATAGTGGCTACCATGCTGAATAGTGCAGTTCTACTGCATGCATGTATGTGTGTGTGTATATGGGTTTGTAGTCTATAAAGATAGGAATTAA